GTGTTCAAACCAGTGTGGGTGTTTCTGCGTTACGCTTCAATTCTTGCGGCGACAGCAGGGCAGACATTCCTTTGGCGGTCGCGAGCACCTTGACTGACGGGATCACTGACAACGCTGTCGCTCATCCGTGAGCCGTCTTCTCCCTCTTTCACAGGGAGGGTGCGATTTCAGGAGGGGTGGCGGTGCCTTCAGAGCTGTTAACTTGCTCATACCAGTATTCCAGCAGCTCCGCCCTGCCTTGTCTCTCTTTAAAATCTGTAGCTAATTAACCCGAAACCCAAACCACATTCTTTCTATTTGGATGAATCATTCTGAGGCCATAGGCAATGACCAGCTTTATGCTAAACCTTCCTCTTTCATGTGGGTGAGACGCGGCTGATGGTTCCCATACATGCATCTGAGATTCATCGGCGGGCCAGATGCTTGAGGACAAACACGCACAAAGGATATTGGCTCCGTAGTGTGCTCCGACAGTGGGAATGTGCTGGTTTCTGCCTTTCCCTTTCCTCACCCCGTGACTCAAATCTGGTTTAATTTCTCATCCCGCCAATGGGGCCAGCTTAGGGCTCAGGAGACCTGGGACGGGGGTGCCTGTCCTTGTGTCGTGCCCGCATTGTTCGCTTCTTCTGGGCCTGTGGGATCTGGCAGAGGATAAAAGCCAAACCCTCTTAGAGCTGGCAGTGCTGGGGCGTGCGACGCACGGTCCCCTGGCTCCGGGACAGTGTCGCAGGAGGCTCAAAGACGGCAGGGATCGCTTTGTACGCAGGAGCGTGAGAAATCCCCATCGAGCAGCGCAATGTAGATGTGCCTCTCCCCCGTCAGAGCGGCCGCTGGTGCCTTTTCACTCAGTGTTGCTGCACCTGAAGCTATCCCAGCTGCGACATGCGAATTTTCAGGGGATTTCAGGCGGGTAGATGTGCAGTGTCCTTTTCCCCCCTTCTCAAACATTTGAAGTCACAGACAAAAGTCACACTGTGTATAGTCAGTGCTTTGTTTTCCCTGCGCTGCCGTGGACCGTCGTTGTAACAGCAGCGTCTACTCCAGTTCCTTGCTAGATGTGTGGTGGGTGTACTGCAGAACATTTGAGTGATCCATATCGGATCTTAGCCAGAAAAAGGGAATTTCTCAGTTACTGCTGTGCTGGTTTGGGGGTTGTTGGGGTTTTGGGGTTTTTTTTTCAGTTAACAGCACAGGCCTTCCGCAGCGGAGGAGCGAGAAAGGCAGTGTGCTGCCGCAGCACTCTGGCAGTAGGGGCTGCTGAGCAGAACGCGGCTACAAATGCAAGAAATGGTGTATTTCACTTAAAATCAACGCTGGGTGTCTGCCTTGTGGCCAGGAGGGAGGTGGGTTGGTCTGATGCTGTGTTTCTGTGGTGGCTCGCAGGCTTTGTGTGAGAAGAGGAACATCCCGTGGGAGAGCGATGTCACGCTTCGCTTGTTTTGGCTTTGAGCCTGGCGCTGCCCCTCTGCGTTGCCTCTTCCAGATGTGACTGTGGGCTGCGGTCCAGCTCCTGCAGCTGGAGGGGTGCAGCCGCGCAGTGGGGTTCTGGGCTCGGGGGAGAGGCTGAGGTTTGAGCCATGTTGAGGTTCTAAATGAATTCTATGAATTCAGGAGGATTTCTGTCCCAGTAACCGAATTAACCCTTAAACCAAATTCGGCCAACTGGGCTGCAGGTGAAATCTTCTGGCCCCAGCACTGAAGCAGCGGTTGGATCGATGCATGGAAACGTCAAACTGGGAGAACAGGTCTGTGCTGCGCACTGCTGGGAGGACGTCAAGCGTGCAAGGGAAAAAGGTGCCTAGTTTTCCCCAGGGGTGCTCCCGGCCCTGCTGGGAGCCAGTGTCTGCCAGGAGGAGGTGGAGCTGGAGCTGGAGGGGACAGCGCGGGGCGTGCTGCCAGGTGAAGGAGGATGAAGGCAGCGAAAGAAAAGCAGCTCTGGCTGTCCTCGTTGCCACGGTGGAGCAGCCAAGCCCAGGTGCGCTTGAAGTGCCGGTTTTCCCTGAGAGGTGGTAGTAGATGTAAGGATCGTTTGAAGCGAGGAAACGATTCCCAGAGGCTTGCAAAGGCTTCAGCAGCGGGGCCGCTCGCTCCCCTCGCTCGAAATGCCGTGAGCGCGGCTCGGATAACATCCCAGCGCCAGGAGCGGGAGGCAGACGGAGACCCGTGCTGCTAGAGGCAACTTCGTCCCTGGTGCAAAAGGCGGATGTGGCTGGGAGCCAGCGCTTTATTGCTTGGCAGCATAAATAAAACAGCTGCTGCTCAAATGGCCATGAATGAAAACTCCGCTCCTCCAACTTGCTGAGCAAAGTCGGACTTTGTCCGACACTCAGGAATAGCTGTAGATATAATGACGGCGAAGCGGCTCCCGCCTCACTAACGGGGCTGGAGATGGTTTCTGCTGGCTCCTTGTCCCTGCTGTGTCCTGTCCCGTGTCCCCCGTGTGCTGTCACTGTCCCCTGGGCTGTGAGCGCAGAGCGTGCCCGCCTGCCTGGACTCCTGTGTGCAACTCACGGCTGAGCTGGGAGCTGCCCCACGCTCCGGCTGCTGGATGGTTGGACTCGATGGTCTTAAAGGTCTTTTCCAACCTCCACGACTCTGTGATTCTGTGCTGCTGCTGCCTGGCGTGCTCCAGGCTGGGTCTGCAGGGCAGGCTGTGGGCACAAGCCGCCCCGCGGGCTCAGCAAGCGATGGAGAGGCGGCAGAGCAAGGGTAAAGGGAAAAGGGCCCAGCCTGGGGGCTGAAAACAGCAGAGGCATCAGAAAACAGGCTGGAAACGAAGTCGTTTTATCTGCTCCAGCCACCAGCAGCGGGGCAGCTTGCTTCCTTCCAGTCCTGCCAGTTCTTGCCTCTACTAGCAGCGAGGAAGGGCTGTGACATTGATTTATTTAACTCTGGAATTGAATAATGGATCACGCCCAAACCATGCTTCTGTGGTGAGACAGTTGGTTGCACCTTCGGTGCCTGTTTCCTCTGACCATGCCGATTCCTGTCTCGTACCTCCCACCCTTTAACAGAGCTTTTCCTTCCCAACTGCTGCCCCCACCGCCCCCCACCGCAGGGCCCGGAGCACTCAGCCCTTAGGGAGAGAAGTGCCAGCGCTTTCCTCTGGTCTTTTTGGCAGTGAGGAAACCCAACTCTGCAGAGGATGACCAGGTAGGCGCAGAGAATAGCTTCATCTTTGGAGTTTTAAACAGATTTGCTCGTCCTTCAAAGCTGGAAGGCAGTACAGAACCTGAGCTTTCCTAAGTCCTGTGTTACAAAGATGTAGGAAGATCTGAGCCCCCTCCAGCTGATGAAAGTTTGGACTCTCTCAGGGAATGCTCTTCGTTATTTTGCTAAACATTATCTTAAGTGCGGGCTGGGAAAACTTGCAGCTTGAGCATACAGAACAGGCAAGGGACACGGTGGATTTTATTCAGATTTATTGAAGCAGCTCCAGGCTGAGTAATAAACACACACAACTGCTGTATATATATAAAAAAAAATAATATAATAAATGTACAGAACCAGCCCATGGGCAAAGTACTGTCACGTGTTAAGACATTTTAGGCAACTGCCTCTGGTGCTGCCTGCATTCCAGGTCACAGCAGACAGCAGCGCAGTCCAGAGCCTGCTGCCAGTTTCTCAGGAGCTTCTAGTAAATATCACTTAAAACAAAATATTAAATGAAAGAAGTAAAAAAAAAAAATTCCTCTGGTTCCTGCTCTGATGTCACACGAGTTAGGAGAAAACTTGGAAACCTTTTGGTGTCTCGAGGGACAGCACAAGCTGCCAGCCCCAGGAGGCCCCTCCGCGCTCGTCCCCTCCCTGCTCTGAGCGAAGGGGACTTACAGAAGCGGTGCACAGCCGAAGTCTGTGTCGCCGTCCTGCTGCTGCTCACGGGGACCCACACGAGGGCTGGCATCCAGGACAGGTCACAGACTTGCTAGGGAGGAGGAGGCGGCGGCGATCCTGCCGCCCGTGTTGTCCGTCTGGATCCTGGGTGAAGCGAGACACTGGCAAAATCAGGTGTGAAGCCTGTAGTGCAGAAGGAATTATTGTGAGACCAGTGCGCAGCAAACCCGAGAACACTCCCCAGACCTCAAAACCTCAAATGCTGCTATCATGGAGTGACGGTTGCTTATTTCTCTCTACATCCCAGAATTTTCTATAGGTATTGCAGGATAGTTTATTACAAGTTCATTTGGGTCATACATCTTTTGCAAGAGGAAAAATAAAAACAAAAAGCCTGCAGGGATCTGCGATTCATGGGCATCTTTTCTGCCAAGAGCCTTTAGAAAGGTTTAATTCCAGTTGCAAATTTTTAAAAAGTTAATCGCTGTGTAGCAGGAAAGAAACAGCATAAAAGGGACACCAGAGGAATAATTAGAAGCGGAGAAACCCTGTGTTTATATGTAGACAGGGTTTGTCTTACAAATGCAATTACCAACCATTCTGGGACTAAATCCCAGCTATAATCTTGTTCTGGCACCAGCTCATAGCCCTCACGTCCCACAAGACATTTGGGTGCCACCAGCAGATTAACCGTGGCACCAGGAGGAGGCGGCGGTAAAACCCCCCAGCCGGTCCCCCATGGCACCGCGCGGTCTATCCCAGCTCCGGCAGACAGACTGCCCGTTAACATAACGAGCTTTCGGTACCAGGGACGACACCCAACCCTCCTCGCAGAGAGCATTCCCCAAAATCTTTGCATAGGCCAAGACTCAGTGGAAGGGCTCAGATGCCAGGTTAAGCATCTTGTTATTTAGACTAATTTTCTCCCCGCAGCATTTCAGCACCTAAAGAGAGGTTCTCTCCCACAGCGTTTTAGAGCCCAAACTACCAGTCTGGAAGGACATTTCTGGAGCTGATGTTCGCACAAGACTCTAGGACAACTCCAGTCCCGATCCACGTGCATCTGCCCCTCGAGGTTTAACCCTTGTGCAGCACCGGGTTATATAGAGGAGCTCCGGGTTGATCCGCAACTGTTTACCTTCCAGGTTCATTCGCCACACCGTGACTCAGGCAGAAAGGTACTTCCAGGTGCTGACGAAGGCGGTGGGGATGAGGGAATAAGGCACCGTGGTGACGCTGCTCCAGGTGTCGGATGATGGATCGTAACAGTCCAGCGTCTTGCAGCGCTGAGCCCCACAGTAGCCCCCCACTACGTACAGTCTGTTACCCGATGTAACAGCACGGCAACTGATGCGCTTTGCGGTGACGTCCCCAAATTTGGACCACTGGTAGGTGTCACTGTGGAAACGGTAAGCAGAGCTGGCGGAAAACTCCGTGTCTCCTCCAATGACGATGATGTGGCTGCCCACCACAGCGGCGGCCGTGTACCGCCAAGGCTGGGGGCAGCTGGCGGGCACCGTCCAGCGGTTCTGGCAGGGATCGAAGCACTGCACCTTGGGCAGCTTCTCCTGGTTGGTGCTGGTGCCACCGAAAACAAAGAGCTTCATCTTGGCTCCCACCACGGCGGCATTGCTTACGCCTTCTCGGAGAGGGGCCACCAAGGACCATTTGTCCATCTGCGGGTCGTAGTGTTCGACTTGCTTGAGAGAGACGGAGGGCGAGGCCGGGAAGGCACCGCTCACGGCTGTGTGACCCCCCACCACGTACAGGCAGTGGTCCAGCTCAGCGGAGCCGTGGCCAAACCGCGCCACCAGCATGGGAGCAGCTTTTGCCCACTCGTCATGGAGGGTGTCGTAAACCCAGACGTCTTTGGAGGCGCCGTTCTCGGAGCCTTTGCCACCAGTGATGTACACTTTGCACCCGATGGCGCAGGCACTGCACTCTTTACGAGGGCTTGGGATGTCGGCACGAGGAATGATCTCGCTGGTTTTATGATCCAGCATATAAATCTTGTCGCACATGAAGGTTTGGCCACCCAGGAGCAGCAGGGCCTGGCTGACCTTGCGGGGTCGGGCGCAGCACCCTGTCACGAGGCCATCGTTTTGCAGGATCTTCATTTTGCATCGTACGGCGTCAGCCACGATCTCCTCCCCCAGTTGGTGGCTGGTCACCAGCTTCTCGCAGGCCACTTGTTTCCGCAGGTAGGACTCGGGCAGAAGGGCCAGGCGCACGGAGCGCAGCAGCTCTGGCAGAACTTCATGGCGTCGGGGCAAATCGTACCGGATCCAACCTATAACAGCTTCGTAGACCAGCGTCTCATCCTCTACCTCCAGCTCTTCGCTCTCCACCAGGTCCAGCAGCTTGTCTTTGGGCAGGCGGAGGAAGTCTTCGGTCTTGCAGAGAGAGGTGAAGTTGGCCAACGCCATCCTCCAGGAGAGCTCCAACAGCCGCTCGCAGCAGTGGGCGTCGGAGAGCAGCAGCATGTTCAAGCAATTCCCGGGGTAGAGATTCTTCTCCAGAAAGTCGGCCGAAGCATCCCGAATGTCCTGAAACTGCAACATGTCCCCAGCCTCCAGCAAGGACTCCGCGTTCTCCTCGTTAATCAGCACCCGGGCCGAGTAAGCGTAGTCCAGCAGCAGCTCCAGCACCTCAGGGTGGAGGGAATCGTGGAAGTTGACTTCGGCGTCTCTGCTCTCTTTCAGGCCCCCGCTGAACATCGCGTCGAAGTAGCGGCTGCAGGAGGCCAGGACGGCGCGGTGGCAGTGGAAGGCCTGGTTGCCCGCCCGTAGCACCACGTCGGTGAAGAGGTGCCGCTTGCGGAGCAGGTTGAGGTGGGTGAGGAGGCTGTCGGCGTGGCCCGGTTTGTGGAAGAGGTGGATGTTCATGGAGCCGGAGCTCGAGCGGGATTTCCGATTCTCGTGGCTGCTGACGGACATGGTGGCCAAACTGCTCTGCAACGGAGAAAAAAACGGGGAGTCAGCACGGAAAGCCCGGCAGCGCCGGCACCGGGGACCAGCACCGGCGGGG